ACCCCAAAAACCCAGCCAGTGACACAGGCCAGAGCTCCATCACCCTCTCCTGCTCCATCCATGCCCCAGGCACCAAACCCAGCCCAAGGCACCATTGAGTGCAGCATTTGAAGAGGGTTGGGGAGGCTTTCCTACACCACTTGCCAAGCTGCTCCCTGTGCCCATGTCCACACCCAGAGCTTGCAAGCACAACTCAACACTCAGGGGTACCTCTAGCTGCATGGGGCACTCCAGACCAGATATTGCACCTTCCTGGCTTTACTTAGCTTAGACTTCAGCACATTTCAAATCTCCCCTTGCTGAACATCTCTGTTAGCAATAGAGCACACCCTCTATGTGCAGAGCAGTGAGGCACCAGAGTTCAGTGTGAACTAGTGCCACCATTGATTTGGCCAGAAGGTTGGCATTCAAAACCTGGCTGCTGTGAGATCTGCTCTTACGCAGGAGGAGGAAGTGCTGTGGAAACCCTCAAGTATCAGGGAGCTGCTGGTGCCAGGCAGGCTCTGCACAGAGCCCGTGCCCTGCTCCAGCCCTGTGTGCCCTGCCTCGGGTGGCTCCTGCTGCTGGCTGTGTCACATCAAATCTGCAGGTAACAGCACTTTGTTTCCTCCTCTCTTGCTGGCTGGGAAGTGCTGAGCAGGTTCCTGCTTTGCCTGGGGGGAGGCAGAGGAGGATTCCAGGGTGGTTTCTGCAGGGCAGCGAGGCAGGCGTCCCTGGGCTAGGTTGTGATCTCTGAGTCTTTCAATTTCTTTTCTTACTCCAAGGTATTCTCTGGGTACTTTACCTGGAATATCACAGCAGCTGAGAACTGGGAGTAATTCATCCCAACATGGGAAACGAGTGACTCTAACAATTGTTTTCTTCTCTAAGAGAACCCCTTCCAGTGTCTATCAAAGCAGATCACTGTCAGGGTGACCACATTACAGTTTTCAAGGGATGCAGTGATAAATGAGCCTGAAAGAACACAAGTTTCAAAAAAGAAGAGAAAAAAGTGCTGTGCCTTAGATCCCTGCATTTGAGAGAGGTGTGAGCAACAGCAGCAAGGCTGGAGCAGGCAGTTTGCAGAATTCTTTATGATCTTTGGAAACAGAGAGGAAAAGCTCCTCACTTCAGTACCATGGCAGTGCCCTCACCTGGGTCTCCTCTGCCATGGGGACAATTTGTCTGCTCACTCTTTCTGGGCCATGCTTCCCCCTAGCTCCTGCCCAGGGCAGGCCAGCAGTGCTGTGGGTACATTAAAACCTCTGGGAAGTGCTGCCCTGCCCAGGTCTGTTCTCACACCTGTGCTGTATCTTCATTGAGTATTTGCTGAGAGCTGCCCATTCAATTTATAGGAATGTTGGTGACAGTCAGGGCTGCTGTCATGGAGGTGGCAGGTCTGAGGGCAGCTGATGCAGAAGATGCTGTGCTGTACCCAACTTCACCTTCAGCCCTTGGTGCCTCCCCACTTTTGAGCTCTCCCCAGAAGGTAGGAGGAGGACTTTCCATGCAAGACTCCTCCTTCAGTGCAGCTGCTTTCCCACTGGAAAAACACAGGATGCAGCCACCACACTGCTGCTGCAACATCCTCTGTGCCTTCAGCTTCTGAACTACATCTCTTCCTCCAGCCTTTCTGTTCAGAGTCTGGCAGAAGCCTCCTGCCCAGCCTGGGCCTTGCTCCCCAGATGGTCACCAACTTCTGTGCTGGGGGACCTGCACAGCGACCTGAGAGCTGCTGACCAGCTCTCCCCAGCCTATGGTGGGGATAGCAGGACACCCTGCACAGAACTGGTGACCTTGTCTGTTGAGCCCCAGCCTACTCCATGTCTTCCAGCAGCAATAAGATGCTGTTTCACAGCTGTCTCCATCCTTTTGTCACAGCTCTAAGTTGCTGCCAAGCCCCTCTGATGCTGCAGGCATTTCATCTATTCCACATGAAGCCTTTCCAGCAGCCATAGAATATGCTGGCTGGTCAAGCTGCATCCCTTTAAAGATTTTTTTTTGCTCAATCATACCCTATCAGTGCCAAAAAGGCCTGCTTTAAACCCTCTATTCATTTCCTCCATCCTCCTCCCAGCCTCTGGACTGCCTTGTGGCTTGTGAGCCCTGCTGCTGGGATCTGCATTGGGCCAGGTCTCCAGCTCCAAAGGCAGCGTTGGCCAGAGCCCTGTGATGCTGCAGAGCCCGGCGGTGTGGTTTGCCTGTGCTGCACATCTGCAGAGGCTGCTGCTGGCACTGCAGACCAGTATTGCACCCCAGAATTGCATCCCAGGGCAGTGAAAAGAAACCTGACAGTGCAGCTGTCAGACTTCTGCCTCGTGCCATAACCAGTGACCACAACCAGTGACAGTTCCCTGCTGCTACTTTCCACAGCTCAGAGAGGTTTTCCTCAGGGGACAGGTGTTCCCTGCCTCGCAGGGTACAGGCAGTGAGCAGCAAGCCTCTGTTGGGAAACCCAGATCTGAGCACACAAGAACTGTGCAGCAGTCACATCAGTGTCTGCTATTGCCCAAGGCACTCACACATACCCCCAGAAACTGAATTATTTGTGTAGTTTTCAGTCACTTCAGAAGTGAATTCTGATTTGCAGGCACCTTCACCAACTAGCCACAAGGTCTGCATGGCTGGTGGAGGCAAATAATTGCATAACCAACCAGACAGAGTGTCCCTTCCCACATCTCTGCAAGCTACAGGATTTCACCAAATCCCTCCCCACTTCTCTCTCCTGTTAGAGTGGTTAAACACTGATTTTACACTGAAGAGTTGTTTTTTTGTTGTTTTCTGAAGTGCATTTAGATGCGAGTAGAAGTGACAGATACTCAGAATCACCAGTTCAGAGAATTGTTCCACGTGCATGCCACATGAAGCCACTTTGCACAGATGGGCTCGTTGAAAGATGATTTTTATCAACCCATGAACTCACACTCTTCACATAACAAGTACTCTTGCAAAACATCTTTCAGCCAGTGTGACAGAGGTCAACAGCTACTACTCATCACCTGGATTTCTGAGGGTGGCTGCCTGCCTGCCTGCAGCAGGAGCTATCTAATCCAGCCCTTAAAAACAAGCTCCTTGCTCTGCAGTGGTGCTCCCTCTTCCAGATATGGCTTTCTGCTTTGCACCTGCAGAGTCATCCTCTGTCCTGGAACAAATGGGCTTAAAGTCAGGTGAATCCTTCCATGCCCCATTCCCCTCCTGGTGAGGTGGAGAGCAGCATACCTCACTCTATTAGGGTTTCAAGCATGCCTTTGGGAGAGCAGGAATGCAGATTCAGCTGTTTTCCTCAGCTTGGAGAAGGAACTCCAGGTTCACAAGCTGGTGCAAAGGCTCAGAAACCTTCCCACTTAGAGCCAGAGCACAAGGATTTCTATCAAGTGACACCTGCTGTGCACTCCCAGCCCTTCACCCCCAGTCTGAACCCAAAACCAGTAGAACTGACGGAAAAACTTTTGCCCGTGAGTTGTGCTGGGCTTTATCTGCAATCCCTATCTAGCTCAGCACCGAGCCAAGGGTAATTTTACATCATCTGCACAGCCTGGCTTAAGGAATTAGTGTTCACCTTGTCACAGGATGTGCCCATGACCTATCTGGGCTCTTCTAAGTGCCACGTTGCCTTCTGCCCTCACACACTTCAAGTTCTCCCTATTTAATAAAGGCTGTCTGCCATGTCCTGTTGGAAGTGTACCCTGAGACATTCATAAACTGAGTGAACATAAACAAAGCTTGACAAAGGATGTCAAAGGATGACACAGGCTAACTGAAATAGCTCTGTAAATCTCAGATTCGCATTTTTAACAAAGGACATATGTACTTATACGTGCTTTTTTTTACAGCTACTAAGAGGTCTTACCATGTCTTTTCCTATTTCAGGTCTCAGAACATCATACAACATCTGTAACTCACGACAATGAATGTATCCAACAACTGCAGCACCACAACTCTAGAACTGCATCACCACGTTCGCCTCATTGAACTTGCTCTGTATAGCCTCATTTTCTTTTTTGGGGCACTATTTAATGTCCTTGCCTTCTGGATGTTCTCCTGCAAGATGAAGAAGTGGACAGAAACCAGGGTGTATGTAATGAATTTAGTGTTTGCAGATTTCTCTGTCGTCTGCACCTTGCCTGCCATGGTTTATTTACTGTGGAATGAGTCAGCCCGAGGGGAGCTCTGCCAGTTTACAGAGACCATGTATTTTATCAACATGTTAGTGAGCATCTACATCATCTCATTCATCTCCATTGATCGATACATTGCCATAAAGCACCCTCTGAGGGCCAGGACCTTCAGGTCGCCGTCCAAGGCTGCTCTCCTGTGTGGGCTCCTGTGGGTCCTGGTGATCAGCAGTGCCAGCATCCAGCTCTGGCAGAGACACGCAGCCCTCTGCTTCCACACCTACACCCCCCTGCCTGCTGCCCTCAGCCTGCTGGCCATCTTCTTCGTGTTCACCCTCCCATTGGCAATCTTGACCTTTTGCTCCACAGAAGCCATCAGGAACCTCAAGAAACATCTGAGCACGAATTCAGCGGAGGAGAAGTCAATCCAGAAAGCCGTGCACATTATTTATGCAAATCTGATTGTATTTCTGATCTGTTTTCTGCCAGCCTACCTTGGGCTGCTGGCCAGGTTCATCATAGAGAGCCTTGCACCTACCTGTTTCCTGCTCTGTGTCATGAGGAACTTCTCCTCTGTGATGAGGTGCATTGCCACCTCCAACTGCTGCCTCGATAGTGTCTGCTACTACTTTGTCACCAGGGAGTTCCATGAAGCCTTTCTCTGGCCCAAAGCCAGCACTCAAAAACCAGAGGCAACCCACCCCATGCAGATAGAGACTTGCTAAAGGAAAAATGGGGAACAAAACCCACCCACAACATCTGCAACGTAGAGAGGAAATACAGCTTCAGGGCTATTGGGATAAGTATTGCTCTTTTTCTCTAGCAAGTTCTTCGTTAGGTTTAGAAATTTATACTCTATGTGTTTGTTAAACAAATAGGTGACAGAGATGTGTAGAAGTGTGCATGTAACTGCTGGTTGTTAACGTGCCTCCATTCCAGCACCTACCTGTTACTCTTACAGGAAGACAGGTGAGCCATGTGCCTCTTTTAGTTCCTTCTGCATCTAAAATCTATTGATCCTTCTTGCCAACATGTGCAGATGTACATATTATGTATTTCATTGTGTATTTCAGGTTGTCTGCATAATTAAACTAATCCAGTTTATATTTATCCCATTCCTTTGGCAGGCTGGGTTGGATGGCTGCTCAGGTGGTTCTGGCATTTTATCAACTACCTGTCCCTACAAAACAGCCTAGGCTGTCCTGACCTCCTTGCCTTTCAACTCAACAGGTCAGAGAGGTGTGAAGGAACACTTTTGGGATGAAAGCAGGACTTGTCAGTCCAGATTTCAGAGCTGAGTCCTCCTCCCTGCAGACCCTGGCCCAGAGACACCTCCTCAGAGCAGCCATGCCTCCAGGCCTGATCCTCCCTCACACAGCAAAGCCATTTCACTGCTGCCTCAGCATTTGCCACCCTTTTGTTCCGCCCTGGTTTGTGTTGTGGCACCAGGCTGACCCCCAGGGTCACCCCAGCTCGGGCTCAGAGTATCTCCCCCAGGGGAACCCAGCTGGGGCTGGGTGTCCACAGCCTGCCCACATTGACAGCCCTAACATTTCTATCAGGGAAGTGTGTTTTTCTGTGAGTCGGCAGCTTAGAAAAGTGAGGGGAGAGAGGAAGTCAATAAATGCTGCCTAGAACTGGGCTTTTTTTTCTTTCTGAATGCTAAAAAACCCAAAATGGCACTGAGCTCTGCCGCAGCAATGCTCAGTGTTCCACCAGACAGTGTGGGAGAGCTTTCCTGCCCACAAACACTTCTTCCCCTGTGACCTACATGTGCCCTTAGTGAGCCCACAGCCAACACCCAACCTGCTGTTGTCACCTTTGAGAACGTGAGCTCCTGTGCTGCTTTTGCACAGCCTGGTTTTTGGAAGCTGGGGGGGCTCAGAGGTGGCTTCTCTGAGAAGCTGCCAGAAGCTTCCACCATGCCTGGCAGAGCCAATCCCTGATGGCTCTGAGGATGGATTTGCTGCTGGCCAAGCCTAGGTCAATGAGAGATGTTGGCAACACCTCTGTGATAACAGATTTAAGAAGAAAATCAAAACAAAGGGGGATGCACTGTTGATTCCAGCCAGAGAAGAGAAGGAGGTGAGAATGTGTGAGGGAAACAACGTGGAGACACCAAGGGCAGTGGGGAAGGAGGGGCAGGAGCTGCTCCGGGTGCCAGAGCTGGGATTCCTCTGCAGGCTGTGGTGAGACCATGGTGGGGCAACTGTGCCCCTGAAGCCCCTGGAGGGAATGGGGGATGCAGAGATCCACCCACAGCCCGTGGGGATCCGTGGGGATGCAGAGATCCACCCACAGCCCGTGGGGATCCGTGGGGATGCAGAGATCCACCCACAGCCCATGGGGACCCATGGGGATGCAGAGATCCACCCAGAGCCCGTGGGGATCCATGGGGATACAGAGATCCACCCAGAGCCCTGGTGGAGGTGCCCACAGCAGAGCAGGGGAATGCTGGAGGAGGGTCTGAGCCCATGGGAGGCCTGTGGTGAGAGGGGCCCTGCTCCCAAGGCTGGAGCAGCCTGTCCTTGGAGCACTGACCCGTGGGAGAGTGACCCACAGCACAGCAGTTTTGGGAGGTCTGTGTGCCTGTGGGAGGGACTCACGATGCTTGTGAGAGTGAACCCACACTGGAGAAGTTCACAGGGAACTGTCTCCCGTGGGAGGAACCCCACGGTTTCACAGGGAAGGATTCCTCACCTGGAGCAGCAGAAGAAAACCTCAGTGATGAACTGACCAAAACCTCCATGCCCTGTCTCCCTGCGCTGTCCCTGGGAAGGAGGGAGAGGCTGGGGGAAGAAAAGGTGTTTTAAGAGCTTATTTTACTTCTTATTACTTTACTTCTTATTATTACTAACAAAGTCTTACAATTTTGTTAGTAATAAACCCACTTTGTATCTCTAAGATGAGCCTGTTTTGCTTTTGGAGTGTTTTCTCCCAGTCTTTATCTCAACTTAGGAGCCCTTTGTTAAATTTTCCTCTCCTGTCCCCAGCTGTGGCAGGGGAGGGCAGTGAGCATCTCTCATGGATGCCTGGCATTTGGCCAGTGTCACACCATGACAGCTCCGAAGACAAGAATTAATGGGACAAATCCCGAGGGAGTCAGTCTGGCTCCTGTCAGCTGGCTCACAGAGATGGAATTGCAGCTGCTGTAGGCAGTGGACAGCAAAAGCCACCGAAATGTCCGTGCCATACCGCTGGGGCACGCTCCTGGCCGCGTCCCTACAGCTCCCAGCGCCGCACTGCCGGGCAGTGACATTACCTGGCTCCCAGGTGATGCACAGTGACACTCCTGGCTGCTGTGCAGAGGGAGAGCCAGCCCAACATCCTCCACCTTGCACGGACAGCAGCACTGCGGGTGCCTGTGTCACTGTCACCCACTGTCCCCTCGGAAAGGTCCCTGTCCCCCCGGGCACCCTGTGCCACCGCCCCAGAGGCTGCACAGCCCGCCGGGCACCCTGGGGACCCTTCTGCAGCCAGAAGGGCAATTTGCAACCATTATGGGCTTTATTTCAGAAATTGTTTTCCCACGACTGAAAAGATTAAATTTTAATTGCCGGGTTGTGCGAGGCGGGGAGGGGAGCGCACTCGGGGTGGAAAAACTGACGGGGATTGAGCTTTAGGGCTGGGACAACAGAGGGCACCAGAGACTCCGGCTCAACAAAACCAGGGCATAAATGAAGGGCTGAGGAGCGCACGGGTTCATTGCTGGGCTCAGCAGTGCCGGGCTGGGACAGCTGTGCCCTGCCCTGACACCTGTGCCACCACGGATCTCCTTCCCTGCCAGCACCCTGCGCGTTCCCCGCAGCCTTCCCGAGGACCAGCGCACCTGTCGGCCTCCCATGGAGCAGGTAAAGGCTTTTCACTGTGCCCCAGTGCGCTCTGCTCAGCCCTTCAGGGTGTGCTTCTGCTTGCCAGCCTATGGCTCAGTCAGTGCCTGCTCTCCTCCTGCTTTCCTCCTCCTCTCCTCCTGCTTTCCTCTTGCTCTCTGTGGTCACTGCGCTGCAAAGAGAGAGAAAGGACAGCAGCACACACGGAGCTCTTTGGGGAAAAAAGGCCAATTTATTGTACAGACAGCCCGGATTTAAAGTGTGTTAGTGCAGCTAGGACAGGACAGGAGCTCATTGGACAATTGGGAAAAACATCCTTGGGACAGCACCTCAGGATGTATCCCACGGGAAAGACACCAGGTGTTAATGTTTATTATGAATTCCACTCTGTTTGTCACCATGTTCTCACCCTGGGAGACTCCTCCCTAACTGAAGCTGCAGTCAGCTTGTCAGCCTGGGAATGGAGCTGAGAGTCAGGAGAAATCCAGGCCTGAAAAGGATTTCCAAGCTGTAATTCCCTAGCTCTGTGAATGTGTGTGTCCACAGCTCTCCTCCTGCTTTCCTCCTGCTTTCACAGCTGTGCTGCCTCTCTGTTCTGCAGCTCCATTCCATGCACAGGGGTCTTTGTCCCTTGCTGCAGTTTCCCATCAGTGCTGCCTCAAGTGTGGGGACACCTGGCGCCGGGAGCTGCCACCAGCTCTGTGCCTGCACAGGGGGGCTCCGTGGGGCTGGGATGTCCTGGGATGTTCCTCGGGCCAGTGATATACAGGCAGAGTGGCTTTTTCACTGCAAGGTGACCACAACAGGCTGCCAGGGAACAGCTGCACCACAGCTGAAACCACGGAGTGACCAAAACCTATGAGGCTGAGAGCCCAAGAGCACTAGGACACCAGCTGTGTGTTAGTTCCTCCATGAATTCCACCCTAAAAATGACTGTACACCTGTGGTTCAGTATTGCCATACCAGTGCTTGTGCTAGGGCAGGTGTTGTGCTTTTTCTGGGGTTGCCAGATCTGTCTCCCAATCTTGGACACTAAAACCAGTTCACTTACTTCATGCCATCGTGTATTTTCACTGCAATTTACATGCTGATATTTAGAAGCTGCTAACTTACAAAGCAATGTATTGGTAAGAGATTGTAGGAATCTGGGCACTTTCTATGCCTGGCTTATTGTAAACACTTCTTTTATGAGCTGCAAAAATGTCTGATTCATCCTCCTTGCTGATGGCAGATGCCCTGAAATATTTAAAGGAAGAGCAGAAGATAGTCTAAGTTCTCCAATTCATGTTCTGTGCCCTAGCAAAATTTTGGCTTCCTACCATTGAAGGCTGAGATCAGACATGTCTCGCTTTCCCTTCTTTCTCTGGAGGCCTGTTATCTGCCAGGGCTGCTGTTCCTCCCCAGCAGAGGAATGGGTTTGTGTCTGGGGGCACCCACCCAGCCAGCAGCCTGAGCAGCATTCCCGCTGCCCCTGGGAGCAAAGGCACTGGGCTGGAAGGGCTCAAGCCCTGAGGGTGTTCCCAGGTCTGGCAAGACCCAGAGCAAACCCAAGGGGTGGTTTCAGCAGCAAAGGCAGGGCTTTGGTGGCTGAGGGACTGATGGTGCTGGTGAGCCACTGAGCCCCTCCCGAGGCTGGCCACATGAGGAGCTGCAGGGACACGGGAGGGACACAGCTGCAGGACACTGTCACTGAGCTCAGCCTCATGCCTGCACTCTCTCCTTGCAGGGACAGCCCAGCACGGACAACTGCACTGACAGAAATGCATATGGTGGCATTGTGCTGCTTCAGATGGTTCTCTACATCCCAGTGTTCACCCTGGGGATCTCACTGAACTCTATTGCCTTCTGGGTCTTCTGCTGCAAAATCAGGAGGTGGACTGAGACCAAGGTGTACATGATCAACCTCATCGTGGCAGACAGTTTCCTGATCTTCACCCTGCCTTTCCTGCTATATTTTACCAAGTACAAACATCCTGTAGATGGGCTGTGTGTAGCTATACAAAACATCTGTTTTACAAACATGCCTATGAGCATCCTTATCATCACCCTGATTGCGGTTGATCGATACATTGCAATCAAGTTCCCTCTAAAAGCAAAGATTCTTCGATCCCCACTGAAATCAGCTTCTATCTGTGGCTTTCTTTGGATAATCCTGATAATTTTTTCCAATTTTTATGGCACACTTAACAGAAACCAGGAAGGTTGTTGCTTTCAGAAAGAATCTCTTCAACCCAGGTATTCCTCTGTAGTCTACAGTATCGGTGGATATTTTATTCCCTTAGGGGTTGTGACTTTTTGCTCAGTACAAGTCATCAGATGTCTAAAAGAGAAGATGGCCACAAGCCCTCATGAAACAAAATTATTCCAGAAAGCTGTGCACATTGTTTCAGTGAATTTGTGTGTGTTTGCTGTCTGCTTCTCACCTTTTCACTTCTCACTGCTCTTGCGGTTTGCAGTAGAAGCTGCTGGAGCTCATTCTCTGCTGCCAGGAGTTACAACCTTCGTTAAGGTCTCTGCATGCTTAGCAAATTGTAACTGCTGTCTGGATGCATTTTGCTATTATTTTGCAGCCAAGGAATTTCCAGAGTTTTCCTCTATGTTCCCCAAGTGTGTATTTATGAAGTCCAAGACGAACCAAAGCGAGGAGTCGCAGCCATCCACGAATCAAGTGGTGGCATAAACAAGGTGCAGTGCACGGCAGGTGTTGAGCTCCACAAAGCTGCTCGAGTTTGAGGCACAGGGAATGGAACCACCTACAATGTTTGAAATCATTGTACGTGTAGCACAGGTACAAAAAGGGGCAAACCCCTCCAAAGGGTCTGATGTTAACTTGAATTTCGTCCTGCTGCTTGTGTTATTGCATGGCAGCTCCAGGCGCCTCCTGGTGACAGCTTGTCATGGTTGGCTTCATAGTCCCTCACTTTCAGTGTCTCCTGACTTGTAAACCTCTAAAAAATTTCTTCCTGGGACTACAAGCTCATATTCTGCTCATGTAAACTTAGAGGCAATTAACTTCCCTAACTGACATACAGTTCCCCTACATGTCTGTCACCACGCAGTGACACTCGTTCTGACCACAGTCTGAAACCACTGGCTAGACCTTGGTCTAACAAGCACACAAAGGACTGTTCCAGCATGGAAAGTGTCCCTGTCCTAACATTAGATCCCCCTGCTTTGTGTCAGTTCTTTGGCAGACAACACGGTGGAAGCTGCAGTGAGCAACCGTGCCATAAAAACAGATGAAACTACTCAGGTCATTCAGCTGATAATTCATGTCCCAGTTGTCCTCCCTGGTGTATTTTCTAATGCTCTGGCATTACTGGTATTTCACTGCAAGCAGAACAAGTAACCTGTGTGTATATGTGACCAGTTTAACCATTGCACATGGTTTAGCCCTCGTTCTGCCTTCTAAATTATTTCTTCAAAGGCAGGAAAAGATATGGGAGACAAATAGTTCCTGATCTTAACAGCCAGCTATTGCTTAAGAAGAAGTGTGAGTGTTGTCACCCCTGCAGCCATCAACAAATATGCTGCAATTAACTACTCAGAAATCAAGAGGACTCTTGACAGACACCTCTCACAATCCAGGCAAGTGTTATTCAGCAAGGGAAAAGACTTCTACGTCAGGAACAGCACAGAAGACCTTCAAAAATATTTTTGGACCTAGGATTCCCTTCTGAGACCTTGCATCTCATTGCTTATAATGAATGCCTGTTCCAAAAAGGTGGTTATGAATTTTTAAATTATTTTGAAAAAAGAGATGAAGATTCATATCAACCTGTTAACCTACTATTAATCTAGAAAGCAAACAACTTGCTTGTTTTTGCAGATTCAGTCATGCTCATGTTTTCTCCCAGTTAACATTGGAGAACTTCGAAATTGTTCCAATGGGCTCCAAGTAGGTCATCTACTCTGAAATACAGAGTATTTTATACATGTGGCCTCACATATAGATCTCATAATTTTCATTTTTCTCATCGTAAAGGGGAAATGAGTTGACTTCACAATCCTTGTAATCATTAAGATTTTTTTCCTGTTTCCACTGCATGCTATGAGAACAAACAAAAAATCCATACTTTTGCAGGTGAAAATAAAGGTGTGTCGTAGTAATATATCTATAAATAAATATTCATATATTACCATTATACATCAGAATCCTCTACTCTTAATGCTAAACTTATTCTGGAGTTTGGGAGAAAAGACTTTTACTGAGATATAAGATCTGCCTTACAGCAGGGTATTTAACAGTGAAGCCCAATGATGAGCTAGGGACTTTCTGATTATCTGAAGGCATGTGCTCTGCCTTGGACAAAAATTATTATCTGGTTTATGTGTTTGGGATGGGTTTCTGGCATCCTCCTTCAGTCTGAACAAAGCTCCCTGAGTGCTCCCAGAAAATGGAACAGATGAGTTTCCAGACCCTGGGCCACAACGAACTACTGGCCACCATCCAGCACTGCAATAGCAATCCAGGAGGATGGCAACACACATAACCCCAAATCTTTTCCATTTCCTAGCACAAGAGTCTGGGGAATGGTAGTGGGGACCAGCCACAGCTGCCAAAGTCCATCAGCTGCCCCAAAGAGCAAGGCTGAACCACTGCATTTTACCAGCATTTCTGCAAGATACAACTTTCCTGTCCCTTAAAAGAAATATATGCTAATAATTGTTTCCACTTCAAGCTTGAGAGAAAGAAAAAAAAACCCACAAGAAAAAGCCTACAAAGTAATCCAGGATCTTGCTTTTATGTGAGTGAGTGGCGTCAGATATGGCATTTTTGGCCCTCCTATGCCTGGAAGGCAGGGGCTGGCATAAGACAGTATTTTGCTGTCTGGTGGCATTTGGGCAGGCTGAATCCTGAGTTCTTACCAGAGGTTTGAGCTCCAGGGACGCATCCTGGGGAGCTGTGGGCTGGGTGCTGCTTTCAGGTGTTGCAGGCATCTCTGATTCTGCTTTCTTGGTGCAGCACAGCAGCTCCAGTGGTGAGCACTGCCCAGCAGCCTCCAGGGAGCTCCACAAGCTCTGCAGCGGCCTCAGGCATTTGGGAAGCACAGGCTTTTCCATGCCCTGCCCAGTGTCTGTGCACAGACACTCAGCTGGTCCCTGGTGCTGCTGATGCCTTAGGATTTTAGCTTTTATGTGTTTCATGTATTTGTAATCCTGCAATTCTTTAGTGTCTAACTCTAAACTCCATATCCAGTGTGAGCTGCTGCTTTCTCATTTTGGTCAGACAAAGCAATTCCTCTCCAGGCTGGGAATCAAGGACACCTCACTGTCTCAGCCCTGAGAAATGTAAGCAAAAGTGAGTTGGGGGGAGCAAACTTGGGGTAAATGACTTCATTACCTGGGGCTGTAATTGGAAGATTAACCCCCAGTGTGCAAATGGACCAAACTTATAAAAGTGTGAAAACCTGTGACCTGTCATCCATTTTTGGGTGTAGCCCCTGGGGGGCTTTGTCTGCCCTAAATGTACCTGAAGGCTCTTCAATAAACACAACCACTTTTTATTCCCTTGACTTTGTCTGGCCTTTGTTTTTAGGGAGCCTCAAAAGGCATCACTGCAGAAGCTGTGGGGGTTGCAGCACAGAGAGCCCTGACAGGGTTTTGTGCTGCAGGAAATTCCGTGCAGTGCTGGGGAAGGGGAAAGGGGAAACAGCCCCAACAGCCAGGGCTGGTCACCGTGTGGGATTGCTGCACTTAGCCTCAAACTGCCATTTGACATGCCAAAAATAACAGTGACATGTTTTGCTCTCAACCCTGCAGTTCTCTTTTGGTCAAGATCTGCTGTTGCACCATCCCTCCTTGCCGTGAGAAAGGCAGGAACAAACCACGTGGGGCAGAGGCACTGCAGGGCTGGGTGCTGCAGGGCAGCCCAGGCTCCTGTGTCCCTGTCCCCTGTGTGCAGATGGCACCAATAGCCCTCCCATCGTGCCAGAGCCCCTGTCCCACTCTGACAGCCCAGCAGCTGCTGCCAGCAGGACACAGGGATGCAGGGGAGACGGAGATTTTCCCTGGCAGGGAAAGGAGGCAGGAGCCCATCAATGTGTACCAGTGGTCTTTACCTTACAGCAATATGTTGTCCCACTGGCTACCTGCATTAAGAAAAGCACTTTTCCAGGCACTGTGTGGTGTGCTGGTGTCAGTGCCAGGTCCTTTGGAGCTCGCTGCAGGCAGCACTGCAGCCTGTGCAGGCACCAGTGCTCTGCAGTGCTGCTGGAATGCCCTGACGAGAGCTGCCAGCAGGGAAGGGACAACGCAGCACAGGTGCCACCTCCACTGCGCCACACGGTGACAGCACTCGCAGGACTGCGATGGGCTGAGAACTGCAGAGGCAGGGGAAATACCGAGTGAGTGTCATTGGTCCATGGCAGGGGTGATAAAACCTGCATGCAAGGAGGGGACCGTGGGCAGCTGCACACGAGGGTGTCTGATGGGGAGATGAGGTGGAGAGAAGGATGGGGATCCTGATGCTCTAGAGGCCAGGAATCAGGCACAGACCCAAGAGCCCCAGCAGGAGACAGGTACGTTCTCCACAGACTGCCCTTCATCCTAGCTTGGCCTACTGGTACCTGGTGTGGAGTTTGCTTTGACACATCCTGGTGAAGCTGCTGCTCGCAGCTAGCTGCTTTGTGCCTGGTGACATGGCTTGTCCCTCTCTTGAGACCTCACTGGGATGGTGAGACCCTCATCTGGCAACCACAGCACCAAGCTGTGGATGGAAAGCATCAAAGTGGAGAGGGGCTATGAGCTGAGACCCTCCAGGCATGATTTTGGCTGTTCATGGTTTGTACCACTAGTGATTGCCTGGACGCAGACAAGAGAAGGATGTGAACAACACTTGAGGATGATGCAAAGTTTTCTATACAGTGGTGAAACTATCACAACCCAGAAGCTGGATGACTTTGGAACTAAATTACCAACAAGGACCACAACATAAAAATGTTGTTGGTTGGGGATCAATGAGTTGGACACACTAATATGTCTGTAAGTACTTTTAAGCATCCACCGAGGAGCAGCCCCAAGAATGGCAAAAGCAGCCCCTGGAAAGTCAGAAGTATGTAATATATTCTGACTGTACACTGGCACAGAATTATTCTCAAGGGCTGGCTTGTGATGTGCAGACAGACAATGCAGAAATACTCCGGATCTGCCCTAAGATGACCTGGAAAGTGGAAAGGAGAAATACGTTTGCCCAAGACGGCAATTCAAGGTAGTGAAATCAGGACCTTTAAGCTCATTGATCAACTTGTCTGTGCTTTTCTGGTAAATAGGCTGCCATGTGGAACCCAAGAGCAGCCCCTGGGACACAGCACCTGCAACCACACAGCAGTCACAAACGCAGCAGGTCACAGGGTCACGGTGCCACGTTTTCTCAGAATTGCTGGCTGAGAGAACTATGGAAGACAAGAGGGACAAGCCATGATTCAGAGTGAAACGCTTTGTAAGAATCACAAAACTGACTGCAAACCACTGCCCTCGGCTCTCCAGCAGCTGCAGGACTGTAAGGGCTGCTCTTTCCCAGGGCTCAGGCAGTGTGACAGCCGAAACCACTCCTGCTCCAATCCCAGCAGGGGTGCCACTCTGGAAGGCAGAGAGAAGACCTCAGGAGCTTCCAGGGCAATGAGTTCCCCTGTGTTGGGCGACGAGGGACAACAGGCACTGCCCAGTGAGACATCAGGCAATGGAAAGTGAAGCAAAGGAAAAGCCCAAAGCTCTTCCAGCGCCAGAGGAACTGCTGCAGGGATGCAGGGATGCAGGGATGCAGGGCAGACAAGGCTTCCACCTCCCTGCAGGACTCTTGCAGGCTCCTCAGTCAACAGGAGGTGGTAGAAGCCACAGCAATGGTGATGACAGAGGAAGCTCTGCCCTGTGCTCAGGAGTGCGGCTGCTGTCTCGGCCAGTTGTTGCTCTCCCAGCCACCAGTCCCTCTGATAAATTGGTTATCAGAGGACACCTCGCTGGTCATGTGCAAGGAGCTCTGCCCCTCGTGCCTGCACAGCGCTCCACGGCTGGGCTGGAGGAACTCGCTCTCTCCAAGGACAGCAAGAGAACAGGTAATTTCTCTTGGCTCTTTACTGACACCATTATTTGAATTCTGCAAGGCATCACCTCTCCCCAGCCACGGTGGGACACCAGAATAGGGATGGAGAAAGAGAGGGCTGGAGCCAGTGGATTTTCAAAGGTTCATATTGATACTGACCACATCTAACAAGTTTTGCGATGCTTAAGGGCTGTCTCAGCCTTTGCTAGGTCTTTGCTAGGTCTCCCTGTGATGATCTTCCCTTATATCTTATGGGCTTGTAATGCATTTCCAGAGCACAGAGCTGCTTCAGGTATCTGCTGTGCCACATTCCCTCACCTCTTCAGAGGTCTCTTGGCATGATTCCTCTGCTGCATGATTTTCAAAGCTAACCAAGACCCACAGATGCACACAAACGCTGCAGCACTGCCTTATGGTTTGTTTGCTGGGGATGCTTTTGAGACCCATGGACTTTCCCCCATGGAGCCACATTCCCCTTGCAGGGAAAACCCAAAGACATGTCAGACATCCTGGGTCTTTCCTGTCCATGAACAGTTGCACCTGGAACGTGCTCCTGCATTAACTCCTCCAAAGCTGGAGGGCAAACAGCAATATTGCCCTTAGATTCAGGGTGATAAACCCACCCTCTAGACCAAATATAACTCACCTCTTCCACATGGCTGCTGATCACATTCCTGCCAGGGCATCGGTGAGCTTCTTTTGTCTTGGAATTGTGGCAGTTTGCTGTAAGGCTTCTGAGATAAAGACCAGCTTTGACAGTCCTCGAAATCAGCGAGCACACCCAGTGCTCCGATTCTGAGTGCAGCCGTCTGAGAACAGAATCTGATGGCAGCTGAAACTAGTGAGAGATATACCATATACTAATAAGAGATATACTAATTATCTAATATATATACTAATAAGAGATACATTAATTGCTCATATCACTAATGAGAGGTGATGCAGAGACATCTCAGGAGTGAGGGAAAGGACAGCTGTCCTTCTGCTGCACATCTGGAACATTTTAAGCTGTGAGGACACCGGCTGCCTTCCACTAATCCCTGCTATAAGGGAAGAGATGAGATCTGGGTTTAGGCATTCCCTTTCCAATATCAAATGTTTGCAATGGCTCACATAACTCCTTGCTGCAGGATATCTGCTGCTCCCCGATCCAAGTCTGAGCCAGAATAGGGGCCCAAGCCCTATTCCCTGCCACCCTCCAGGAGCAGTCTGCCCCACACAGGACCCGGGGAGAATCAATCTGAGCTTTTCTCTCCTTCACAACGGATCAGGCTGGTGTCCTTGTCCCTCTTCTTCCCACTGGGTACCCTACATCAGGCTTCCATGGCTGGTAAATCTCTGAACTCTCTCAGTTAGAATTAATCACTGATTCACTCCAGAACCTCCCTTGTAAAAAGGTTAATTTGCTTTTGCAGGAACTGTACATTTTGATAGACCCAAAATGAACCACAGCAGCTGCAATATCACAGCCTATGAAGTATTTCCACTTGTCCAGCTGTGTGTTTACATCCCAGTTTTGGTTTTGGGCATTGTGCTGAATGTGTTGGCGCTGTGGGTGTTCTGTTGCAAACTCGGCAAATGGACAGAAACCAGAGTGTACATGGTCAACCTGGCTGTGGCTGACTGCTTGCTGCTCTTCACCTTGCCATTTAAAACTCTGTCCCAGTTCCAGCACCTGAAGGTAGATGGGTGGTGCCTGGTTCTGGAAGGTGGCTATTTCCTAAACCGCTTTATGAGCATTGGCATCATCACCATCATCGCTGCTGACAGGTACCTTGCAATCAAGTACCCTTTGAGAGCCAAAGCATTGAGGTCACCACTGAAGGCAGCTTTTGCCTCTGGATTCCTTTGGATCGTCATCATCTGTGAGATTTCCCTCATTAAAAGCTTTGAGGACCGAAGAGAAGATGATTTTTGCTTTGAAAAATCTTCCGTGACGCCGTCGGTGATCACACTGTGTGCCATTATTGCAGGGTTTTTCATACCACTGCTCATCCTGAGTTACTGCTCCATACAAATCATTGCAGAGCTCAGGAGAAAGAAGGATGGAAGCTGTCACAATGAAAAGCTAACCAGGAAAGCTGTCTACATCGTGTCTGCAAACATGGCTGTGTTCATCATATGCTTTTTGCCTCTTTACCTGGGGCACCTCCTCCGCTTCTTCATGGACCTCAGCTCCCACTGCTCGGCCATACAGAGCATCAACAACTTCGTTCACTTCTCCTCCATCCTGGCCAACACCAACTGCTGCCTGGATGCCATTTGTTACTACTTTGTCAACAAGGAATTTAAGGAAGCATCTTCCAAGCTAGCAAAGTCCAAATCTGAGGCCAGTGAAGAAGCTGAAGTTCAACTCCCACACGTAACCCATTAATGCAAAACACATACAGCACATATTTTATATTTGCTGTGTTCAACTGGGACTCACTAGCAGGATTTCACACTTGCTTTTTGTAAGAGTGGGATGGAGGGATGTTCTACTAACAGGAAACATTCAGATACATGATTCAGCTCTGAATCAGACAGCCACAACAGTCTAGATCCTGATCTAATGATCTGGATTGCCGCTAACAATTCTCTGCCTTAACGCAAATGTATGTAAAATTATAGATTTCCCCTGCCAAAATTCCCCTGTCTTTCATTTTCCCACAAAACCCAAAAGAAGCTCAGGCAGTGGTAAATGATTGGGTTTTGTCTTTCATTCCCACTTTGGATCAGTGTTTGTGCAGCTGTGACAAAGAAATAGGTTATTCCAAATATCAACAAATTTTAAAAAATCAGAGTGAAACCATGCAGAAAAATAAAGGATGGTGTTTCTATAAGTAACAAACATACTGGGTTTTATTTCCTAATAATGCACTATCCAATAACTGGCATATTTAGCTTGCTTTAAAAAACTTTACAGCAATGTGACAGCTACAAAATGGTCATCATTACAATACGACGTCAAAAAATTGCAATTGCTTGTACTGGGGAAAATCTTTACATCAAAAACGTTTGAATCAAATGGCATTAAAATTAAATAGAAGAGTTGGTGCAAGGCAGTGGGAACAAGGACTCTGCATTAGGACTCTCTTCAACTGTAAAATGCAAAGGATTGTCTAAAGAAAGTGGTATCAAAGCTGTTCCAAAGGAATCAACCTAAATAAAGTTGTGTCACTAGGAATTACTGGAACTCAGTTTCTTAATGAGTTAAATGGAAAAGGTGGGAGATGGGGTGGTAGAGGACAGCTGGGCTGTCTGTCCAGGAGGACCAGCTCCCTGTCATCCAAGCCAGGGATCATGGGTACCAGCTCCAGCTGGGACTGGGATTTTCTAAGGGAGAGCAGATGATTTTACCACGAACACCTGAGCAGGCGAAACCACTCAGCAGCTTCAGACCACTCACCCTGGGCTGGGCTGTACCACTCACACCTCCCAGCTCCAGGCTGGGCTGCTCTATTTGTTCTGGTTTGGGGCAAATTTGGGAGGAAGCTTCCAAAGAGGTTTTCCTAGAAAGCAGGTTTAAGTGGCCCTTTTCCCAGTTGGTTGGGAAAAGATTTCTTTGGAGAAAAGTGGAAAAAACCTGTTTATTTAGCAAGCAAAGTATTCACGAGTATTAAAAAAAATGAATAATATTAAACAACAAAATTTCTTGCTATTTTGAAGAGATGGGAAATTCAGAAAATCCTTTTGGTGGGGTGTAGCTCAGCTTGCTGATTCTTTTATCAGTCCCTGCTGAGCTGGGAAATGCTGTGTCCCGGTGGAGCACAGCTGTGAGCTCCCGGTGTTTTTCTGGGTTTTTGGTCCAGAGCAGGGCGGATCAGTCTCAAGAAAAAGAAAAGCCACAGCCTGGGGAATGTCTCTGTTTCAGTTAGCTAAAAGAACTAACTAAAAAGCAAAGGAGAATTCTTTCCTGCTCTCTGTGCTGCAGACAGTCCATGAGAAGCAATGCGAGGGAGCAAGTGCAGTTTCTGAAAACAAACCGCTCTGTTCTAATTCCTCTTGGCTTTTGGATCCAGCCTTAAAGGGCAGAACTTAATATCCAGGATTAAGAGAGCAGCCTGGGGATACAAACTTCATATATAGACAGTCACTCTAGGACAACTGCCATGCACCTGCCCGTGCTGGGCCCAATCCTGCTGCCACAAAATCATCCTGGCAGTTCCCACAGCCAGCCCTGCCCTGGTGCCTCCTCCTATTCCAGGCAATGCCAAAAGGAGGAACCCCCTGCAGCAGAAAGTGCTTGAGCAGAGCCCTCTGTAGCTGTGGAAAGGGGTTTTAACCCTTTAAGTGCAGCAGAAATAAGATGCACAGATACATGGGCGTTTGTCATGACAGGAAGAAAGAGCCAAGTTTATTCAGAAACACACTTGGTTTTATAGCATGACTGCAACTCCAAGAGTAGAGAAAAGGGTTCAGAGAGAAGACACCCCATTGCCAGGGCCTGGTCACTCACCACAACAGGTGTTCTATCTTGTTATTAATTCCTTTTTATTTTGACCAAATTATCACCCTGGGAGAAATTCTCCCTGGCCTTGAGCTGGACCAGCTCATCGGCTGGGAACAGAGCTGAGAAGCTCCAGCCTGGAATATTTTTCAGGCTGTAACTTTCTTACTTTCTCAATATGTGTCCCACAGCCCTCCATCCACCTGGGCATGCACAGGACAGCAGCGAAACCCTGCCAGCCTCCCGAGGGGATGCAGGCTTCTCAGCGTGCTTTTCAGGCATTCAGATAGAAATGGAGATATCTGCTCTGTAATCACCCAAACCTGAAAGTAGAATCTTTGCTTACTACACAATGGGGAGGGAAAGGAGGAGAGGCGCTGCCTGCAAAGGCCTTTCAAGGAGGCTGTTAAAACATAAATATTTTCTTTTCTTTTCTACACTTGCATTTCCTTTGAGAAGATCAGAGCAGCGAGGCAGGGTGCTGTGCATGCAGAAATTGATAATCGGCTGCTGGCTTAGCCCAAGGGTCACACCCTGCTGCCTCCCCAGCCCCGCTGCTGCTGCCTCTCCTGCATCTCTGACTAACGTGTGCACCTCTGATCTGATGGATTGTTCCCCAGAAAAGCTCAACACATCTGTGACATCCTCTCCCCAGAACAGGATTTGAGAGATCACCTGATTGCCAGTGTATTTTTTTCTACACCTCCAGTCTCACCAGAGGCAAAAGCTTTGCACAAACCAAACTGCTGTTTCAGATGGGCAAGAAAAAAACACTTCTACTCCACTAACCACTAATAAAAAGGGTGGGGGAGATACAAAGCAGGCAGTAAACAAAGCATTTCCGAGCACACTCTGCTAACCCACCTAACTTCTAGTAACGCCTCTTCCTCTGGCAGCCCAGAGACACACCATGAATGCCTGGCCAAGCTTCCACCCCACAGAAACCTCACAACAGAGCCTCTCAAATTGCTGGGCTTCACCATTCAGGCAGGGCAGTCAGGGATTCAAGAGTTCTGAGGCTGAAATATGTGGCACAAGGACCGAGAAACCCCCTCAAGTTCCCCAGCTGGAAAACTGGTTTTTACTTTCTGTTTATTCACTGTCTTTTGCTTCTCCCATCTGGAGCTGTCAGGCTGATTTACTAGGAGGAGTGTCCTCTAAGTTCAAGACCCACCTGGCCAAGCTCTCCCACCCATACAGAGAAGAGGTAAGAGAAGAATTGAGCAGTGAGGAGGCAGCAGTGTTACACGGGTATTTCTGGTGGGCTCAGCAACCTCTGGGAGACAAGGGGCATCCAAGCACTTGCCAACAGGATGCTGATTCTTCCACCACTGTCTGGAAGACAGACCATGGCTATCCAGGCAGTGCAGGCCTTGCCTGCCTTGCTTTTATCTTGCTGCAAAAACCTCTCACCACGTCTGCCACCTTTTGAGTATGTGCAATTTAACCTTCATAGCATAGGATGCACTTCCAGATTTCCCAGATTTCTCTGGAGCCAAGTCTGGCCAACACCAGCATTGTGCTTGCCAGGTGAGGAGGGCACAGGTGTGAGAAGGGCTGGAAGCTGCAGCTCTCAGACTCCCAACCTGCATCACTTCATCCACGCTGCCCTCCCAGGCAGCTGCAGGACACAGGCAGCACAAACATCTTGCACTGGCAGCTCCTACATTATCATAATCCTATGGTTCTGTGAAATGGTGACAAAGCTGATGCAGCCAGTGCCATACCTGCCAAAAACACCGAATGGATACAATACAAAGCCAGGTGGAGGTGGAGCAGCTGCAGCACTGGAGGTGGCTCTGCACAGGCAGGACACACACACACAGTGCAGGTACACATCCAAACCTGCCTCTGACTTTCACGTTGGTGCTCACAAAGGTCTGCTAACGTCTCACACCAGATTTCTTGCTTGGGGTTTTCCATTTGCTTTTGTTGTCACATTTTAACGAGGAACCCTGATGCCAGCCAGGGTGGCTGACTGAAAAATGAGAGTTCAGCTGAATGTCAGGTGTGGGGGGAAAGTGTGAAAACTGCTACCAAAAATCTGTGACATACTTCAAAAACATTTTTATCGAAGACAGAAACAGAAGACTCTTCTGGGGAAGTGAAAATTGGGGTGACTCATTACCGTTAGCTTGAAGCAGAAGCAATCTCTCAGTTTCTGAATGAAGGCTCAGAGGCATCACTGGGTCACTGTAAGGGATGACCTGTCCTGTGTGGGCAGTGCCTGCACCAGCCAGGAGCAGTGTCTGACACCCTCATTCCTCAACATGCTGAAAGGCTGCAGATGCTGCAGAAACCTTTCAGAAACCCTGGCAGCAGTCTGCCAGCAGCTTTGCTTTACTAACTTCAAAATTCCATTTCTGCCTGCTAACATTTTTCTACCAAGGTGAGCAATCTCTAGTTCTGCCTTTCTGGCCCTTGGCTCTCCAGTCAGGCTCCCTGCTTTGGTTCAGCAAAAATCTGGCACAGATATTTCAAGCCCGACTTCCACCAGCCTCAAAATTGCAAGAGCGATTCTGTAAGCCTTTAGCCCTTGGTGGGTGGTACCACAGCCCACAGTTAAACCCTTGCTCTAGTTGCTGTAAAAAAACAGGCTCCAGGAGCAGCACATTTCCCCCAAAAGTCCCATTGCACTGCCTGGGGACCAGCTGTTGTCAGTGCCACAGCAGAGACTCTGCACCGTGTCCCCACCACACCATCCTGCACACCCCACACGGCTCACAGAGCTCCTCTGCACTGCTGCATCCATCTCATCACTTCCTTACATTTACACTTCTGCCTCTCACAAAGGTTATTTATTACCAGTTTTTGCTGAGAAGTGCCCTTGGTGGCAGAAGGAAAGGAGCTGCCTGATCTGATCTGGTTCCCTGGCAGAGGCAGCGTTTTCTCACCAGGCAGTGTGGGCAGAAAGCCGGGAGTGATCTCGGGGCAGGAAGGAAGAGATTCTTGTTTAAGCTGAAATTTAACAGTAACGTCTTTTATTGATGCTCACTTCCTCTCCTTGCTCATTATTCTGCTAAATGGAAGAATGCAGCAGATACTCCAATACCTCTCTGCTCCCCCACTGCCAGCTGAGCCATCATGGAGAATCCAGTCCTTTATTTTACCCCTCTGAGGCTGCTTCTTGTCCCGTTCTGGACACTGAGCATGGCAGGCTGGAGCCTGGGGGCTGCTCCTGTGCTCTGTGCCACTGCAGTCACAGGGATTCATCTCTCATCACGGTTATATTCACAGCCTTTCGGGATCTTAGACAGGCGGTGGGTTTGTCTTCGGTTTTATTTTGAAAGAAACAGAACTTTTAAACGTGTTAAAGGTGAAATAAACTGGGCAATAGTGAAAGAGAAGTGCCTTTAATAACGTGACTGGAATTCTTTTGCCATTTGGCTAAAATATTTTTATATAAGATATTTGGATATTTTCAGTAGGCAGAGAGCAGCAAGGGATGATCTCACCTGCTGACTCCTGCGGGGATGGATGGTCTGCAGCTCAAATGCAACAACAAATACAACGAAAGTGCTCCAGATACACACATTTATGTTTTGGTGGGGATTTTTGTTTGTTTTTAAGATTCTTCTGTTCTGACCTCTCACATCAGGGATGTCAGATCTATCTCAGTCACAGCAGGAAGTTTTCAGCTGAGGCTGAGCCTTTACCAAGTCCCGTGCTAGGCAGAGCCCAGTGTAGGACAGGGAAGCCCTGCAATGAGCTCCCCTGTTC